GAAGCTACCAACATGAATTTGACCAAACTCCGGGAGGCAGTGGAAGACAGGAGGGCTTGGCGTGCTATGGTCCATGGGGTCACAAAGAGTTGGACACGACTAAACGACTAAACAACAACAATTACTTATTAACTGCACAATATCTCCTTCCAACCTAGCTGTCCAAAAGCATGCAAATGCAAGTACTGTAGATAAATAGGTACCACCTCAGTGGGAAGATAAAGGCGTTCCGTGTCTAGTTGTGCTGGCCACGTGACCACGGAAACTGTCTTTGGACAAAACGTTACCTCTATGGCTTGGAAACAGGGATGAGCACCACGCCCTAGAGTTGGACACGACTGCACTCAAGGTCAAGGGGAGCCTTTACCTTTACTATCTTCTGTTTGCCTTTGGTTAATCGCAATATCAGTACATCACAAGACTTGTGTCAGCTGCAATAGGATGGCATATCTTTCCTAGGGAAAAGCAACACATCAAAAAGAGTGATTAAACTATGGAGCTCCTGAAAGTTTCTTAAGCATAGGAGTAATTTGAGAGAGAGAGAGAGCCCTAAAATGTAAAATTTGGGGGAAAGATGAGAAAGTATGTTGGTTGTCTTTGTGGTGGAAAATCCCCACTTAGAAATCTGTAGGTTTACAACAGCAGTCTAACAAACTTAAGAGATTGGGTTTTTCCATTACACCCATTAACATCCCCTTTTCTCTTCCTCCTTCTGTTTTTCATTCACTTGCTTGTCCTTTGTTGTTTTCTAGTCCTTATGTTGTGTCCGACTCTTCGTGACCCCATGGATCAGAGCATGCCGGGCCCTCCTGTCTTCCACTGCCTCCCGGAGTTTGGTCAAATTCACGAACAGCATGCAGTCCGTACTACAGGGAAAAGTTAGTAACAGGAAACTGAAGAAGTACAGTCTTAAGCAAAGGACATGCAAATGAATGAAAAACAGAAGGGGAAAAAGGGATGTTAATGAGTGTAATGGAAAAACCCACTCTCTTAAGTTTGTTAGACTGTTGTTGTAAACCTACAGATTTCTAAGTGGGGATTTTCCACCACAAAGAGAACCAACATACTTTCTCATACTTTCCCCCAAATTTTACATTTCATAAAAAGCCTTTGTATCTGTGAGGACTATTCTGCAAATGAGGATAAAACCAAAAACGTTTCATGTTGCATCAGATAAAGTGCACTGTGAAGTGTGTGTCATAATAAACCTGCTGTTCTTGTATCCTTACCATCTCACCTTTCCTGCTGACAAAGATAAATTAACCACCCCTACTCCTATCCCCCCTACAACCCTGTGAGGTAGGTTCAGCTGCAAGTTTTGCCCCCCATAGGCCAGGGGCTGAATGGATTTTTTTTCTTCTTTTCCTTTTTTGCTCTTGCCTTCCTCGGTCTAATTCAAATCTGTACCCTAATTCCAATACTAGATTCACAAACTATATCACCAGGTTCTTTGTTTTAGTCTTGAAGAAAAGTCTTGTTTAATTGACAAGCCTCCTCTCTCCTTTGTGGACCAGTAGGCCCCTCAAAAATAGGAATTTTTTTTTCCTTCAGGCGGGCTTTTTCTCAGGGATGGGCTGCCTAGTCGTTGGGCTGTTATGTTTGTTTTCCTCTCTCCTTCCAGTTTTTGTGTGTTTATAAGACGGTAAGCCATTTTGGGCCCTCGTGAGAAAGGTGCAGAATAAAAATAGCTGAAGCAAATGACCCAAGGGAAGGGAAGCCCTTGAGCTTCTCATTTTAGAGGACGAGTCTCTTGAGGCGGGAAAAAGAGCCCACCACCCTTCTTTGGCAGAGAGGCCTCGTCGTGCGGAGCGAGAGGGAATGACCGGGGGGGGGGCGAAGAGGACCCTTCCCGCCGCTCCCGAACCTGCGCGGGGCGGGGGGCCGGGGGGAGCCGAGCCACCGCTAGGCCCTGAGGCGGAGCCACCCGAGGACGAGGTGAAGCGAGGACAGCGGAGGCGGGCAGGCCTTCGGCACGGCGGCTGCCTGCTGGATGGATGGGTGACTGACGGACTGTCTCACACACACAAGATCCCAGCCGGGCAAAAGGCCTTTCTCGGGATCCTCGGTCAGCGCCGTTTGTGGCTAAGTCGCGGTGGGTTGTGTCTGTGTGCCCCGTTTGCCTGAGCCGGCGTCGGCAGCGTCTTCCTGGAAGCGGCCTTCGGAGAGGCTCGTTCCCTTCGACACGTGTCTTTGGGGCTGCTGCTTAAGTGGAGCACCCCGTGCCCTCTTTCTCCTGAGTGACCCCGCTCTGATTTAGTGGTTTTGTTCAGATCGCGCCGTTTTTCGCCAAGAGCCCCCGGGCGGGTAAAAACTTTAATTCGGAGCGTGTAGGAGTCATGGCTTTCAGAGGCGAGGGGGGGGG